AACAAATTTTTTAATCGGAGAATAAATTAATACGCAATTTCTTAATCGGAGAATATAAATATGATGTAAAATTATGCTATTTAGTGCGATTTGGTTTAATCACACCAAATAACACAATTTCCGTGTCCCTGGTAATACGTAATTATACTAAACATTCCATATAATTCATTTAAATTTCCATAAAACTTTTTTTCATAGGGCTAACGTCCTGCGGCGATGTTAAGGATTTAAAATATATATGTGTGAGTTTTTAGACTTTATTTTCTACTATACCAAAAAAAGTGGGTAAATTTACAATAATGTCTGCTACAAATGATATAGAGAATTTTCAGGAAAGGAGATATACGCTTTATAAGCTGAAAACAACGTTTAACAAATTGGAAAGGTTAAAATCAATGACTTTCAGACGTTCAATTATTTGTGCTTTTTCTTGGACCGTGTCACTTGCACTTGGTATTTTTCTTCTCATTACGGAGGAAAATAACATGAATATTAAGAGCATTATTTCAACTTTCTTGCTTGGAGCAGGAAGCATAGGGACTTTAGTTGGTAGTTTTTTATCTTTTATAAAACTTTTTCCCATAAAGGAGTTGGACACTAAAGAATGTTTTGATGATACACTTGTTAAAAATTCAGTACAAAAACATATTGTAAAATCATGCGAGACAGAATTAAGTTCAAACGAATTAGAAAATATAGAACAACATAGTAAGGATGGACTATGTAAGAATAATAGTTATGAACTAACGAAGGGTATGAGCCCATTTGGCTTGGCTTTAAATTTTCTTGAAAAACTTATTAACAATTTACGTTGGATGAATATTTTGCAAATTATATATATCTCCTTTATGGCAACTATCATTCTTGTCTTTTCAATTATTTCTATTTTTTTTATATATAATGATTCTGAGATAGATGTCGTGAGAATTTCTCTTATCATTCTCATCAGTTTTTCTTCTTTCTGTATATGGTTTGATATTGGCTTCATTATTTATATTAAATTAATTACCCCTTGGTTAGGTAAACAATGGAGTGAGCATAGTAAATGTTTTATCTTTACATCAATTCCCTTAAAGTGCCTTTTTAATGTAAAAAAAGGTTCGAAATATATAGGAATAATATATTTTATATTCTTCAGTCCAGTTCTCATTTCAATAGGTTTGATGTCAATATCACAAAATGAATTAAAAAGAGTTTCTCTGAACAAAACAGAAATAGAAAATATCTCTCGTCTCCTATTTGGTTTGAAAATTAGGCGAGAATGTAAAGATAATGTATGAATTTACCATTTTTTGGAGGACAACAATGCAGCCAGACATTTATTAATAGTATTTGTTCAAAACTAAGATTTTTTGATGTAAAGTTTTAAAATTTTATCGGTCTTATTTTTTTTTTTTTAATAAAAACTAGAATCGCCTAGATTTATTTAAATTATAATAAAAAATTTTTAAAAGATAAAATCATAAGAAAAATTTCTGCTGTACTCATCTATCAAGTATATGTACATACGTGTTCCTGACAAAAAATATTTTATCTTTTTAAGATGATAAACTTACCAATCGAATGCTTTATTAAAATATTTAATAACTTCCAGAAAGACTACAAAAGTTTATATTATTGCCTTCTTGTAAACCGTCACTGTAGAATTATTGTACCAATATTATGGAGCAATGTAGGAGAATAATTAAAAAATGGAAAGTTTATAAATACATATCTTTCGACATTAAATAGACATTATTAATTCCCTTAAAAATTAGAATTCCAAATAATCAAAAACCATTATTTGAATATACAGGTTATATTACAACAGTTAGTAGTTATTCAAATGTAGGAGTTATTAATTGGCTTGAATATAATGGTTACGGAGGAGTATTTCGATATGATAATCGTTGGGAAAAAAAATTGTAAATGCTATTAAATGTTGTAATGTTTCTACGAACAGATAAGAAACTGAAAAATTTAGAAGTCTTTAATATTATTTATGATGATAATATATTGTTTGAAAATTTATGCAAAAATAATATTATTACTTTTTTATATCTTTGTGGAAATTTATACAAGTCCGAAGAAATAGTATATATTCTTTACGAGAATACTACTCTAACTTCTTTAAGACTTAACGATAATAGAATTGATATTTATGGAGGAAAAGAGTTAGCAAGAGCACTTCAAATTAATACTACACTAATTTCTTTAATATTCGAATGCGAGGATATTGATGTTGGTAGAAGAAATGCGTTGGTAAAAGCACTTTTTAAGAATACTACTTTAACATCTTTAAGCTTTATTGATAATAAAATTGGCGATGAAGGAGAAAAAGCAATTGCAAAAGCACTTCGTATAAACACTACTTTAACATCTTTAAAACTTAGTAATGATAATATTGGTATTGAAGGAGTAAAAGCATTTGCAGAAG